TTTGTCCTTATGTGACTGAGATATTTAACTCAGCATAATGTCCTCCATGGTCACCCATTTTGTATAATATTTCATTAGTTCTTTGGTTTTCAGTGCTGCATAATATTCCATTGTGTGAATGAATATACCACAGTTTCTCTATCCATTCATTTGTTGATGGGCACTTGGATTGTTTCCAACTCTTTGCTATTGTGAACAAAGCAGCGATAAACATGGGTGTGCATATATCTCCTTGGGTGCCAGTTGTGGTTTCTGTAGGGTATATTCCCAATAGTGGAATTGCTGGGTCAAATGGTCTATCTATTTTTTACTTTTGGAGAAAGTGCCATACTGCCTTCCATAGTGGTTGCACCATTTTACACTCCCACCAACAGTAAATAAGGGTTCTGGCTTCTCCACAACCTTGCCAGCATGTGTTGTTTGCTGCTCTGTTGAATTTTGCTATTCTTACTGGAGTGAGATGATATCTCATAGTTAGTTGGGGTTTGTTTGTTGGTTTGTTTGCATCTCTCTTAGAGCTAGGAATGTTGAAGATTTCTTCATGTGTTTGTTTGCCATCTGAATGTCTTCTTTGGTGAAGTGTCTGTTCATATCCTGTGCCCACTTTGCAATTGGATTGTTTACCTTTATCTTATTGTGGTGCTCAAGTATTCTATAAATTCTAGATATAAGTCCCATATCAAACTTGTCATTACCAAATACTTTTTCCCAGTCTGTGGCTTCCCTTTTTACCCTGTTGGAGAAGTTTTGGGATATGCATAGAGATTTTATTCTTAGAAGGTCCTATTAATCTATTTTATCATCTCCTAGTTGAAGGTTTTTTTAAGATGGTTGGAAGACTATATTCATGTTGTGGATTAGGGCTTCTAGAGTTCTTCTCAGCTTCTCTCTAATGAAGTTTATAGTCCTTGGTTTTAGTCCTAGGTCTTTTTTTTTTTTAAATTTTTTTTAGTCCTAGGTCTTTGATCCAACTTGAGTTGGTTTTTGTGTATGATGTGAGGTGTGGGTCTTGTTTGAGTTTTCTGCAGATGATTTTCCAATTTTGCCAGTACCATTTGTTAAAAAGACTGTCGTATCCCCACTTAACTGATTTCATCTCCTTGTCAAAAATCACTTGACCATAGGTAGATGAATTGGTTTCTGGGTTCTCAATTCTATTCCATTGATCTTTGTGTCTGTCATTGTACCAGTACCACGTTGTCTTGACCACCACAGCAGTGTAGAAGGATTTAAAATAAGGAAGTGATATCCCTCCCACCTTGTTTCTCTTTTTAAGGAGTGCTTTGCTTATTCGGGGCCCCTTTCCATTCCAAATTAAATTGGAATTTGTCTTTTCCATCTTATTGAAGAATGGGATTGGTATTTGTACTGGGATTGCATTGAATGTGTAGATTGCCTTTGGTAGGATTGTCATTTTCACAATATTGATTCTCCCTATGCTTGGCATTTTTTAAGCTAAAGGAACTAAAGAACAAATTCAAGCTGCAAGTTGCAATACTTAAGCATGCTAGAGGCAGAATATTGAATGATCCAAAAAGCATTAAAAGAAGATAGGAGTATACAGAGTCACTGTACCAAAAATAATTGGTTGACACAGAAGAAAGAATATCATTAAACAAGGTATGACCAAGAGGCAGTGGTGATGAAGGAAGAAGTGCAGGCTACTCTGAAGGACTTGGCAAAAAAATAAGGCCTCTGAAATTGATGGAATACAAATTGATGTACTTCAGAAAACAGATACTGTCTTGGACCTGCTCACATGGTTGTACCAAGAAACCTGAAGGACAACTACCTGGCCAACTGACCAGAAGAAATATGTATCTATTCCCATTCCAAAAAAAGATGACCCAATAGATTGTGAAAATTATTGAACAATATCATACACAAGCAAAATCCTGTTGATTATCCAAAAACAACTGGAACAATACAACAACGAAAAACTGCCAGAAGTACAAGCTGGGTTTAGAAGAAGTTGTGGCACTAGAGACATTATCACCAATCTCAGATGGATCTTGACAGAAAGCAGAGAATACCAGAGGAATGTCTATCTTGTTTTCTTGACTATGCAAAGGTATTTGACTGTGTGGATCACAACACACTGTGGCTAACTTTTTAGGAAAATTAAAATCCCAGAACACTTAACTGTGCTCATGCAAAGCCTATACTTGGACCAGGAAGCAGTCGTCAGAATAGAGCAAGGAAATACTGCATGGTTAAAAATCAGGAAAGGAGTTCATCAGGGATGTATCCTGTCTTCTATCTTTTCAATCTATATGCAGAACAGATCATTCAGGAAGCAGGGCTTTATGTGGAGGAATGTAGCATCAGGATTGGAGGAAGAATCATCAACAACATGCAATATGCAGATTACAAACCTTGCTTGCTGAAACTGAGGCAAACATGAAGTACTTGCTGCAGAAGGTCAAGGACTGTATAGTCTTCCATATGGATTGAAGCTCAACATCAAGAAAACAAAGATTCTCACCACTGGTCCAATTGGCAGCACCATGATAGATGGAGAAGAGATTTATGTTGTTAACAGTTACAGCTTGCTCGGCTTCACAATCAAAACTCTTGGCACCAGTAGTCAGGAATCAATTGACTAATTGCCCTGGGATAATCTGCTGTCTGGGACCTCTCCAGAGTACTGAGAAGCAACTATGCCAGAATAGAGACTAAGGTGCACCTAATCCAGACCATAGTTTTTGCAATTACTTTCTATGCATCAGAAAGCTTGACAACTACAAAGGATGACAAAAGAAGGACCAATGCATTTGAGTTGTGGTGCGGGAGAAGAGTCTTGAACGTACCATGGACCACCAAGAAAACAAGTCTGTCTTGGAGAAGGTGAAACCAAGTTTCTCCTTGGAGGCTAGGATTTTGAAGATCCATCTCACCTACTTTGGGCATATATGGCCAGCTGGGACCAATCCTCAGAGAAGGACATCTTGCTTGAAAGGTTGGAGGGACAGTGCAGGAGAGGAAGACCTTGGATAAAATGGATTGATACAGTAACTGGGGCAAGGAGGGTAGACGTGTCAGAATCACTGAGACTG